TGAGATCTACCGGTAGCTCGTGATTTACTGGTTGGTGACCACGGCTGTAGATCCACCTAGGGAGGCTAATGAGGGTGACCGAAATTGCAAATGAAGCACGGGATTTAAATATCCCACGCTTGATTTGCGTGTTCCCGGCCGGTCGCCATTTTAGAAATTGACTAGCCCGAAGTAACTGCCGGCGTCTACATCGGCAGTGAAATGGGATTCCGAAATAAAGCCCCAACTCGAATTAGCTGGTAAACCTCATTACACCAGCTAATTTGAGTTGGGCTTTATTTCGAAATCCTGTTTCACTGCTGCGTGTAGACGCCAGCAGTTACGTCAGGCTAGTCAATTTCTAAAATGGCGACCGGCCGGGAACACGCAAATCAAGCGTGGGATATTTAAATCCCACGCTTCATTTTCAATGTTGGTCACCTAGATCGATCTAGGGGGCTAGTGTAGACATACCCATAGAGAATTATACTTAGTCTTAGTTTTGTTACCAAAAAAAGTTTAGTTTTGCTAGTTACCTTCCCTGTCCTGGAGCAATTAACTGTTAAGATGCCTGGCTCCTTAGGTTTCAAGTGATGCGTCTCCTGCCTTGAGAAATACATGTTTAGGATGGGTACTTCTTATGCAGACAATGTCTCAATGAGGCAAATAGTCCACAGAAATGCACCTAATGTAGCAATGTGAAAGTGAGAGCCTGGCGTGACTGGGATCTCAGGTTAAAAATGATGAAAAAATCTTTCCAACAGACATGAAGACTGCCTCTCTGGGCACTTTTCCAGCAGGAACAGGAGGCAGAAAGATAGAGAAAGAGACATGGTCAAACCCTGCAAGGTCATGACCCCAGCTGCCGGCACATGTTCAGGTGAGCATCTATGACATTCCGGGTCTGGGTATCTTCAGCACTGCTGAGTCCTGAACAAAAAAGTTGGTGTTGAGGCACAGATGAAAACATGCCTTCTCCACAGCACCAAATTCACCGTAAAGGACTGAGCACAAAGAGGCTCCTCAGCCATCATGCCTCTGCACCTAGCACCCATAGTGCAGAAGGTGAAAACTAAGCCAGCACTGACCTTATCAAATAAACTGACGCAGAATCTGTTGGTACTGACAAGCGTGGGACCTTCAGCACCAACAATACCAACCTCAGAATTGCCTCAGTCTCTGCTGCACCAAAAGACCTGAATGTATCATCAGCACCACATGTCTCATTATTTGGCACTGATACACTATTGAAGTGATACACTCATTCATGGGCAGAACCCATGAACTTTCTCATCACAGAGTTCACCAGTGAAAGAATGACAACCACCCTGGGGTCATATGGAGCTGAGATACCATTGCAATCAGATGGCTTAATCATGGTGTGGACCACCATAGATATACCCACCAATGGCTTTCCCAATGCAATTGACACATTGGGAACCCGGGGCAACTTACTGAAGCCCAAACACCAGACAACCTAGAGCTCATAGAGATGAACTGCAGTCTCACATGTGTCTCACTCACTACATCCCACTGAACCTCAGGAAGGCGGAGATGACACTGAAACAGGCACAGACCAAGAAGCTATGTTTCCGGCACACAATTCTTTCTCTTCCCTGGACAAGGCGATCATGCTGCAAATGACGTCAGGCAATTCCAGGAACTGTTTAAGTGGGTCCTCCATCTTGCTGGAGGCAGTGCAGAGTAACCAGCACAAGCTCATGCAATTTTTACTGATGTCATCTCATTCCAAGATCATTATCCCCATCAATGATGCAATCTTGGAACCAAGACAGATGCCTGGCAGACCCGGCCTCAACTCCACCAACATGCAAAAGGACATCTAGAAAGCATAATGTCCCCACAAAAGGGGCAGAGCTCCTCTTTGCACATTCACCTCCCAACTCCTTGGTCATTCGTGCACTAGACATGGCATCAATGGCACCGTGAGACATCTACTGCATGCATGTAACCCAAGTGACACCGCTACCATTCATCTCTGATCAACAGCACTGGGACGCACTGTTACCTGTAGTGGAGCTCCCACAGGGACACACATTTCAAAGAACTTCAGTTATTGCACAAGATGAGTTACCGTCTCTTCTCTGAGTGATGTCTGTTGAAAAAACGTTCATAAGTTCTTAACCTGTTTTATCTGATTTGGCTACTCTCTTCAGAGCTGTTCACTGTGATGAAACAATAGTCCTGAGTTGTCTCTCTGTTACAGGTTGTGCTGGACTATTGTTGCTATTTGTGTTAACACTGACAGGTATTGGACCTTCAACATCGACTAACAGTAGTTACCAATAGTTACTATTGGTGTTGAACTATAACACATAAGAGAATGGATCTTTCTGCTCTAGGATGTTCTTGACTCTTTATACAGCTCTTTCAGTCTTGCCATTCAGTTTTGTATAATGATGGCTGCCATTCAGTTTTGTATAATGATAAACGATATTTTGTTAGAAATTATTTAAATTCTGCTGCAGTGAATTGCAGTCCATTGTCCATCACTAGGTGCTCTGGAATACCAAAGCAACTAAAAGCTCATTTCAGTTTCTTAGAAACACTGATACATTATGCTTTTTAAGGACATTATTTCTAACTACCTGGAAAAACAGTCCATGATGATCGCATAATGATGTCATTTGAATTTGCATAAATTTGCATCTAATCTCTGCCAAGTTCTGTCTGGTAGAAGTGATGTTAGTAAGGGTTCTTTGTGTTGCATTGGTGTGTTAGTTCTGCAGTGTTCACATGAAGATACTTTGGCCTTTTTTCCTTGCTGATGTCTGGCCACTACATTGACATTCATGGCATTTAGCTCATTCTTGATCTCTTCATGGACAAGCTTTAGGACTTTTTCCTCTCATTTTGTTTGGAATTATAATGCCAATAAGAGCTTTTAATCGTTTGACTTACTTGTCCATTTGACTCAACTGTCCACACATCACAAAGTAGTTTCTTGTCACTTTCACAGTGTCCTTTGGATACATGGGCCAGCCATCCCAAATGTAATTTAGAACTTCTGAAATTGGTGTCTGTCAAGATGGCTTTTAGTAGTTGGAGAAGTCATTTCTGACATGGGTCTGTGTGTGTCCACAGCATCCACATAAATATTTATGCAGGGAGTAGAAACAGTTTAGTTCAAGTCTGATTTGGGTTCCTCAACATTTCCTAACCCTCTGATGTAGACACTAACTTAGAATGATGGTTTGGTAACTAGTTCAACCACTCCAAACCTGTCTTCAGATACGTTTCCTGAAGACTAATGTTACACACTCTTTTGCTTGCATTATAACTCCTAGCAAACATAGGAAGAAGTAAGGGGAAGGAAGAGATGGAAAGGGGAGGGAGTTATTCAGACAGGAGAACTATCCATTCCAGAACTCCTTTTCCCTCTCTTCATGTCACTTGCAATACCATCTTAAGAAGTATAAACTCTGCTTGCCCCCCTCCACCCTCCCACAGGTTGGAGTAGAGAGAGGCCCTTCCTCAGGACTTGATTATTGAACCCTGTTATTCTGAAACTGATTACCAATTTTTTGGGGGAGTGAGAGGTGGGGAAGGAATGCTGGTTCCAGCTTCGGTTCAATGTGACTGACGGATTTTCAGTTCATTTTCAAGTCTGGCTCATTTAGAAACTGTTTTTTGGGGTTCAGATTCAGGTTCCTTGCCTTTACTTCATGTTTGAACTCATGGGTAGTTGAGTATAATGCCGGGTTCCTTGAAAGAGTTTTATCCCAGGAACGAATTTAGCAACTGAATTAAATCACATTAACCTTAGCAATAGATGTTGGCAGCTCCAAAGTACTTGATCCATGTCTTTTCATTGATGAGAGTTACAAGCAATTTATGGTCCATTAATAGTACAAATGAATCCAGTCCACAAAGATATCTATAAACGTTTTCACATGCCTGTACACTTCCCCAATTTAGGCACATCATTTTTAGGTTTCTTGTGTGAGAACAAAATGCAACTGACTTCCACTCAGAGCTATATTGTTACAACAGCATACCACATAGTCTGTAACTTATAGTGTGAGCTTGGACACATCATAGTGCAGTACTTGAAAACTAGGGCTGTTGAGCTAATTCCTTACCTTTCAGAAAGCAATTTCTTAATTTGGCCATCAAGTCAAATGCAGCTTCACTATGAAGAATTAATTCAGTGGTTTTTCATTATAGAAAGGTCTTGTAGGTATTGACCAAAATAATTTACTATCTTTTGTATACATCTCAATTCTGGTACATTAATTGCGGCATTCAATTCTCAAATTGCTTTTACTTTCTTGGGGCTATGATTGATTCTGTCTTTGTTTATTGTCTGTCTCAAAACTTGAGGTTGGGTAGGCAAAAAATTCATTTTTCCTTGTTTAGCTTCAGTACAGACTAAGGATGTTAAGGACTAGTTGACTAGTCGACTATCCAATAAGCAAATGTTTATCAGATAGTCGAGTCTACTAGATGCTTCCCCACCCCCTTGCTGTCTCTAATCAGATAGGGCAAAATCTATCTGATTTCAAAGCGGCAGCGCTGCGTGGAGCCCGGGATCAGCTGGGGACTGATTCCATGGAACCTGGGATCAGTTGGAAACTCCCCAGCTGATCCTGGGCACCGTGCGGCATTTCAAAGCTTGCAGAGCCCGGGGTCAGCTGGGGAATGTCTGGGCTGACCCCGGCTCTGCGCGGCATTTCAAAGCATCAGCATTGCATGGAGCCCGGTGTCGGGGGGTACTCTGAATCCCCCACTGACCCCAGGCTCCATGCAGGCGCTTCTGCTTTGAAATGCACATGAGCCCCCACTAGGGACTCTTGTACATTTCAAAGCAAGAATGTGCAAGTGCCTATCAACTAGTCGAGTAGTCGATGGAAATTCCATCAACTACTCGACTAGTAAACTAATCAATATTTAACATCCTTAGTACAGACAGACTGATTAAGCTTAGAACTTCATTGAAGGGTGTGGGTTTTGTATTTTTCCATCAAAGAAGCATATATCAGAATATCATCCATGAAAACTATAACTCCATTGGTATTTAATAGCTCTGCCATCTTTCTTTAGATATTTTCAGTTCCGCTCGGGTAGATTTACAATGAAACATAATGAAACATACCATAGCCTAGCACAGGGGCCCCCAGTGACACGGGGCCATAGGGTTGGGCAGTCTAGCACTGGGTCTGGCAGTCTAGCACTGGGTCTGGCACCTCCCCTCCACACAGGGGGTGGCAAATTGGGGGGGGACAGTCTGTCTGCAGAGAGGGTTATGGGGGGAGCAGGAGATCAGGGAGTCTTACCTGCAGGCTGCAGCCTCAGGAGAGTTGGCAGGAAGTCATTTCCTGCTTCACTTCTCTGCACTGGATTTCTATCAAGGAAGATCCGAAAAAGGACTGATGACTCCCAATCTGTTTAGGAGTCAGAGAATTTTGCAAGTCAGCCATCTATTACATCACTGCTACAAACCTGATATACCTGCAGGGGGTGGCCCATCCATATAGGCAAACTCGGCGGTCGCCTAGGGTGCCAAGTTAAATGGGGCGCCAAATAGTGGTGCAATATCATTGAGGGATTTAGAGGTGGGGGTGCCAATTGCATGTCTAGGGCCACCCCTGTATACCTGTATGTATATCATATTGTGATGGGGCATCTGTCCTGCACTGGCCCTTTAAGGGTTAAAACCCAGCCCTGGGAGAGGACTGGAGCTGTGGGGCCAGCATAGGGATGTAAGCAACTAGTCAACTACCAATAAGCATAGTTTGCTCCGTGCTCCCTGTGGCGCTTCTGCCAGCGGGGCTCTTGCTACATGGCTGTGCTGCCCCTTTCTCCTGAATCCTCCTGCCCCTGTAATGTTGCACTGCTGTTGGCTGCCAAGTTGGTGAGTGACTGCTGCCCACGGGCGAGGGGGAGAGCGGCTGGGGGATGGAGAGCCCAGGGTGGGGGATGGGGCACTCAGGAGCTTTGAGAAGTCCATTCAGTTATTTTTTTTTATAAAGGGCTCTTATCCAAAGCACTTTACAATAGTTAGTTAATGGTACTAACAATATGTGGAAAGATCATTAAGTGGTCCACCAAGACCCTCAGCAATTTTTAAGTGGTCTCTGAAAAAATTCCCTGTATGGAGTGGAAATTCATCACTGTGCCCCTGGAACAAATAATAATTGTCATCTGAAGAAGTGAGTTGTGCTCACGAAAGCTCATGATACAATGTATATATTTTTGTGGTCTCTCAGGTGCTCCGTGCTCCCTGCGGCGCTTCTGCCAGCGGGGCTCTTACTACATTTCAAAGGCAGAGGCACTCTGACTGATTGAGAGGTCAATGGAAATTCCCTTGACTATTTGATTAGTTGATTAATCTAAATTTAACATCCTTAGGCCAGCAGCTGAGGCAGGAATTAGCCAATTAGGGCCCAGCGGAGGGCACAATAAATAAAGGCTCCTAGAGAGGAGGAGCCAGTCACACTCTTGCTCTGGCTATGAAAAAGGAGGGACCTGGCTGCCAGTACTGGGTTTATTTTTTTCAAAAAGTAAAATGTTAAGACAGAATACATTCTGAACCTGCCATCATTGATGAAGTATAACATAAATGCTCCTGTTAAACAAAAAAAGGTTCTGTGTCCTCAACTTGCATATCTTGCCAACAAAATTTTGTTTGTGACTCACCATAATTGACTGAGGCCAGCACAACTTTTACTTTACAGAGCCAGAAGGGGGAGCACAAGCACAGTATATTTAGCCAAATTCTACCCTCTTCTGTCTACATCTCTCACTGAAGTCAGTATAAGTTAGACCCCTATCTTCAAAGCCAGAATTTGCTCCATTTTGTTAATGTGCAAGAAGGTCTGTCAAGCTAGCAGCAATACACTTATATTTTAGTATCTCTTTGTCATGAAGTTATAGATTACAATCAAACTTGAAGATTTTGTTTCTGATTACATTGTAACAGCTTTAATGTAATCTTTGAACCTAAAATGTTTATATTATCATGGAGTATGGTAGGTAGGTGCTATAGGTGCAAGCTGTGTGAGGCTATGTCTAAACTGCAGCCTTTTGTCAGCACAAAGTATGCTAATAAAGCGCTCATTAGCATTTGTCATACTGTCATTTGCATATTCTCTGCCAAGGCTTTTTGCACAAGAGGTTTTGCACAAAAAATGAGGTTTACAGGTTCTTGCGCAAAAGGGTTTTTTTGTGCAAAATGGACCCATCTACACTGCTTGGTTTTGCGCAAAAACCTCTTGTGCAAAAAGCCTCAGCAGAGAATATGCAAATGACAGCACGACAAATGCTAATGAGCGCTTCAATAGCATACTCTCTGCCGACAAATATCTGCAGTGTAGACGTAGCCTCTATGCTTCAAGGATGGAGCATCTGTGGAAAAAAATTAGCGGCCACAAGCAAGTCAGCGACATCTCATGATTAATGGTATCAAAGGCCCCATTGCAATCAATAGGAGCTTTGGCATTTACTTCAGTTGTGCCAGGATTTCACCCTTGACCTTTCTCTGATCTTAAGATGAGATCGTCTATCAATGTAGAAAATTCCATTTGCCAAACTATGAATTTTCAGTGCATGAATTGCAAATGTTTGTTACTTTTTAAAATAATTATTTTTCTACACAACTATTCTGCAATGTATTGTTCTGCTATGAAGATTATTTGTATGATAAATTTCAATTTATAAACTACAGCTGATTTTGCTGCAGATCTATTAAAAAGTCAATGGTAATACTAATAAAATAGTAAATACTATTTTTTCCTAATCAATATCTAACTTAAAAGTGGCAGAAGGGCTCGCTTTTCCTCAAACTTCTTTTTTTGGGGGTGTAGGGGATAATAGGAGGGTGAGGAAAAGGAAAAGACACATTTAGGCAGAGACCATGCTTGGAAAATTTCAGTTTCAGGCTGCATGTTTCAGATAGTTATGGGTTATATTAAACTAGGGATGTAAGCAATTAGTCACTTCCCCTGCCCCTTGCTGCTTTTATCGGAGAAAGGCAGCAAGGGAGGGAGCAGGATCCAGTGCTGTGGGGAGGTGGCTTACAAGCCATTTCCCTCCCCAGCACCATCTCCGTGGGGAGAAGGAGCAGAGGCACAGCAAGAAACTGGCGGCGCTTCCACTTTTGAAATGTAGCAAGAGCAGCACTCTTGCTACATTTCAAAAGTAGAAGCACTGCGGTGAGCCTGGGATGAGGTGGAGACTCAAACAGTCCCCCACGAGCCCTGCACGCCCTGCCTTTGAAATGTACAAGATCTGGGAGGGCGCTTGTACATTTCAAAAGCAAGGAACTGTTTGAGTTGTCAGCAAATATTTATTATGTACAGGCAGTCCCCGGGTTACGTACAAGATAGGGACTGTAGGTTTGTTATTAAGTTGAATCTGTATGTAAGTCGAAACTGGCGTCCAGATTCAGCTGCTGTTGAAACTGATCAGTTTCAACCGCGGCTGAATCTGGACGCCAGTTCTGACTTACATACAGATTCAACTTAAGAAACCCAGGCGTCCCCAAGTCAGCTGCTGCTGAAACTGATCAGCGGCTGATTCCAGGAAGCCTGGGGCAGAGCAACTCTGCCT